GTAGTAGTAGTAATAGTGGTGGTGGTAGTAGTGGTAGTGGTAGTAGTAGTATTAGTAGTAGCCGTAGTAGTAGCAGTAGTAGTAGCAGTAGTGGTGGTAGTGATAGTAATATTAGTAGTTGTGGTAGTAGTAGTAGTAGCAGTGGTGGTAGTAGTAGTGGTAGTAATAATTTTGGTGGTAGTAGTAGTAGTGGCAGTGGTAGTAGTAGTAGTAGTAGGAGTGGTAGTAGTCGTAGTAGTAGTAGTCGTTGTAGTAGCAGTAGTAGTAGTAGTAGTAGTAGTAGGAGTAGTAGTAGTAGTAGTAGTAGTCGTAGTAGTAGTAGTAGTAGTAGTAGTAGTAGTAGTAGTAGCAGTAGTAGTGGTAGTAGTAGTAGTAGTAGTAGTAGTAGTAGTAGTAGTAGTAGTAGTAGTAGTAGTAGTAGTAGTAGTAGTAGTAGTAGTAGTAGTAGTAGTAGTAGTAGTAGTAGTAGTAGTAGTAGTAGTAGTAGTAGTAGTAGTAGTAGTAGTAGTAGTAGTAGTAAATGGTAGCTGCGGCAGCAGCAGTAGTAGTTAGCGGTTTTGAAGCCGTGAGACGGCACCATGTTTGAATACATTCCCCAGCCCCCTCCATCCTTGAGGGGTAAAGCAACGCATTCACATTTAAGGTCACCCATACCCCCAGGAGGTTGTCAACATGATCGTCATCAATTGGAAACCGACCAAAGTCAGTCTTAATCCGCCTGCGGGATAACTTGCTGTCATCCCCGTAGGATTTCGATATTTAGGATGTGGAGAGGAGGGAACCTTGGAGATGGAGGTATTTGGGGGGAGGGGGGGAGATGGTGGTGGTTTACACCTTAATAAGATTATAATAGAGAGGACTTGCACACAGCATTGAGTCTCAAGCCAATGATTATCTGTGATGGGCGCGAGAACAAGACTTCCAATGAGATAAGCAGCAGTGACCGACCTGGCATTGAGACCTCAACACGGCTAGTTGTTTCCTGCTCACTGGACCAAACTGCACACTCTTCACCGAGTCGTTAGGGCCACACCAGCTACCCCTCCCCCTCCCCCATTTGGTTTAACTCACTAGTCGGAACGGTTAACGGGGTGTGGTCGCCGAACTGAGCGGGCACACGCCCTGTTCTTCTCTCTGTTATCGTGGCAGGGAGTGTCCCGTCGATCGGGCTACGGAATATGCTCTCCTATTTTCGCTGTGGGGATCAATCTAGAACCCTCACTGACAGTCGCACAGGGACAGGACAACTGACCTATGGTTCAGTGGCAGAACGTTGGACTCAGTGACGTGAGAGGTTGGCCCCGGGTTCTCCAAATACGGGGTTAGGTATGGTTGCCTGACGACGGCCAGTATGCCAGAAACGGCTGCGCCCGTCTAGTTACTGCATCAGCATTGGCCACCATTTGACAGCCTGCGAGGGTCCAAGATTGAGCCAACGAGTAGACGAGCATGTCCACTAATTTGATCCGTGGATGCTCTTCCACGAAACCTAATATTTCCGCCCGCAACCGACGAGCCAACCAGCCTGTGGCATAATGGGAGGACGTCGTACTACTTAACACTCGGTGACCAAGGAGTCCGGGTTTACATCTCAGACTCCGGTTGCCTAGCGATGACTGATAAACCAGTAATGACTATTCCGGTCTCACCTATCCATGTCATTATTCTTTCCTGTTATGTTAAGATTCTCTTCTGACCAGTCTTTACGACCGTGCTGTGCGAATGTACTGACGTGTGTGAAGGCGTTCCTAGTTGCTTGCGTTAGGATGGGACTGCATCACGCATTTAATCAATGCTGTAACGTAACTACCGCTTGATTATATTTGAACCCTCGTCCCCCCCGAGAAGGCGGTGGTATTTTAACGATGTTTTTTTTCGGAACTCATCGTTCTATCAGTTTCCGCGCAGAGGATTTTTTCGAACGTTAATACAGTTGTCTGCATAGTCCCCTCCTATGACGGTTGGTTGGTGAAATTCGAGTTCTACATCCGTCACTCTGCTGTAGCCGATTTCCCTAAATCACCGAAAAGAAAACAGTGCCGCTATTTCCAATGCCTCTCGGAACAGGATTCACGAAATCTAGATCCCATCCTCTCCGGATCGTTCAGTAAAGACTGACCATCGGTTATAACGATCTGACTGTCCTCATTCTGTTCAACTGAGATCATCTATTTTCTCTTGATTGCTGTCGATCGCAGCTATGTCCTCGACGTACGTTCTCCACACTGCTGTCCAATCGGGTTTTAACGACGCTCTCTGTTGTGGCTTGGCCATGAGTACCTCGAAGTGCCTTCTGACAATTCAATAAAGCCACCTACCAGAGTAAATTAGGCATTTTGGTTGGGCACAAGAATGCTGGTCCTTCGTATTACAGTTGGTCTTGCCATAGCTTCCAGGGGATGTTAAGGTTAAGGTTGGTGGTAGGGTTAGGATTAAGGTTGAAGTTAGAATACATAAGTAGGAAGCACCTACAGAATTTAGCGTGAGGCCACTGTGGAGGAGGGGGCGATTCCATACACCCCTGTTCGACCGGTATTTCCTGTCCGCGAAACCCGCTGCATTTCGAGTGATGACAGACCGGTTCTGGACGCTTGGGCACAGACTGCACTCCTGTTGGGAGTGCCTATACCCCCCAAAAACGAGATCCAACCAGTAATTGGAATTCGCCTACGCATTCTCTAGCATGCCGTTAGCACGCAGTCAGGATGCCGATAGCATCTCGCCATTCGCTGGTCCCCTTGAACCTGATTGGTCCGTGTCTGTTATGGGGTGTCATAAATACGCGTTAATTTTTCCAGTGAGAATGACCTGCGGGCTTTTAGTACACTTTCTCGTGGCCGATCGTGTTTTCCTTCATTGTCGTGTCGGTATTGGGAACAACAGTCCAGCGCGCATACGTTTCGTGTAATTTCTGAGTACCAGGCCAGGTCATAACAACTTCGTCCGACTGCAAATGTGAATCCCGTGTTCAGTGAGACCCTTAGTCCGTGGGCTATATGAGGGTCGGTTATAAAATTCACTTCGCCCAACACAAGCTGTCTCAGAAGGCTAACGGAGGAGCTCTCCCTGAGCGAACCATGATGACGGCTCAGTATGGTAGAGTGAAGAGTGTCTATCAAAAACCTTCGAAAATCCGACTGGTGGATAACGTATGAGTTCATTCTGCATTATGACAGCGTACCAGCCCACAGGGCATAAGAAATTCCTCTCGTTACTATCCCGGGCTTGGGGTCTCCCTCTGTCACCGTCGTAGTCGCCTCGTCTCATCCTCCGGCATTAATAACCGCTTTCCTAGATTGAGGTGAATCTGCGAGATCATGGCTTTTTAAGCCCCCATTAAGAGAACTCTTTTCTGCTGCCAAAGAACTACTGTATTTACTGACAGAGGTCGCTTCAAGCAATGTTTTCTGATCGTTGTATTCACTGGCTCAAGTGGCAATGCATGTGACAGAAATAGTTTGAAGAGGTGTCAATTGGTCCGTGTACAATGTTAAAATACGTGAAGGAACCCGATTCTAAGTAAAAAAAAGTTACGAGCTCTCCTACAGTACCTGCTGGGTATCCTTTCTGAAAGAACACTTGTATTTCATTGTGTATTGAGATATTTCGGTCAGATTTCTTGAGATTCAAGACAGTGACTGTTTGTTGAGTAAAAATGGCCGCTAATGTTTTCGTACATTTTACACCTTCCTGGTCAGTGAGTTGACCACAAATAAGTACAAAATCAATCATGTGCCCTTCCCTGACGCTCTCGCCGAATGCGGAGATGGCGTTTTCCCAAACTTGAGAGATTTTGGGAAGCTATCAGCGCCGTTTGTGCGTTTGTGTAGAGCCGTTGAGGTCGGGGCGAGGTTCGATCCAAGCATATCAATTTTTTACTAAGAGAGCCCGACTTACTTGCCCGGGGCCTAAGTTAAGAAAAATCACGGGGTTTCCTACTGTATTTTCTAAGTGGCTTTTTGAACTAACGCTTGTATTCGATTGTACATTCAAATATTCCGGTCAGACTTCGTAGGAATCAAGACAATGACTGCTTGTTGAGTGAAAACTGCAACTAATGCCTTCGTAGATGTTCTCAGTAGAAAACATCAAGGAACGATTTTGATGTTCTCCTGGTCAGTCAGTTGACGACGGGTAGGTGAAACCTCAATCATGTGACCTTCTCTGATGCCCCTGTGAAGATAGCGTTTTAGCT